CCCTTTTCTAAGCACTGCTGTTTCATTCTGATCCTTTCTGGAAACTACCCAGTTTCCATTTACAGCTACCACAACTGCCTTTCTATTGATAAAGGTCCATGCTATTTATATTTTCAGTGGACGTATTCTGTCTCAACTAGAATGCAGAGTTCTTTCAGGTAGGGACCAGTCTGTTTTTATATTCCCCAAACTTCCTCACACAATAAGTGTGTGTAGAGTAGAAAGAGCACTGGGTTTGTAGTCTTGAGTTTTATATGGGACTCAGCTTTGATAGCCTTTAGTCCTCATGAATCTTTGAGGCTTTCTTAGCCTCAAAGTGAGACTAATGTGTCCACAGGCCAGTAGATTATTCAGGATTAAGCAGGATGACATGTGAAAGCCTGGTGTCTGGTCCTTTTTAAAGAAAGTGCTTATAGGTTAGATTTAGAAAACAAAGACTGAATTAGAACACATACAATCCCACCACCTTTGAGCCAACATTGTTTCTGATGCATTTTCTTCTAATCATTTTTCTTTTCCTGTTTTTCCTCAGATGGGTTATACTCAGCCTGGCTCATTTGAAAACTTGGTGAACTTTTACTTTTTAAAAAAATATGCTAATTATAGTGAATTTCGTGTTTTTTCAACCAACAGGAGGATGAAATTTTGAACAGATCACCAAGAAACAGAAAGCCGCGAAGAGAGTGAAACAATCTTAAGAACTTGATCTGTGATTTCCTCTCCCTGCCCTTCCCCTGCAAAGTGTGGGTCCTAGGAGAGGACCTGGCACATCTTAGGTTGAAACTCAGAAAACCTTCAGAGTCATCATCAACAGGTTCCAGCTGAACACTAGCCCGTGTAATTTTAAACATCTAGCAGTAAATAATTGCAGTTGTGACATAAAGGACCCTGTTTCTGTAGAAAGAAAGCATTTAACGTAATGGTTGTGAAATGTAACATGAAGCAACTAACTTGTATTTTTTTGTTTTTAAACATCTTTGTTTTTTAAAATAGAGTGATAGAACTTTGTCAGTCTTTAAAAATCTTGGCTTAATTTAATATGTTAATCTGTCCATGCAGAAATAACACCAACCTTTAAAAATGCTAGGGGGCTGAATTTGAAGTAACTGATTTTGTTTTTTAAGTTTGGTATTACAAAACATTCACATGTCTTTGTCCCTTAAAATTGATAATCATGTTTAAAGTGCAGTCATTTGTGGTTAAAATCTTGTTTTGCTTGCTTCCATTATTCAATTCCTCCTAAGGAAATTGAGGAGAGTGATTGGATGGAAGCCCAAATTTATATAAAGGTTCTGTTAAAATTGTATTAAAAATAGACATACAAAAAGAAAAAAACTTTTCACTTGATGTTGGTTAGGCCATGAAGTATGTGTGTTCTTTTGCCTTTGGAACAGCTCAGTTCCCAGACAGCTTTGCAGCTAGTGGAGGAGGTGGCATAATGTGGCGCTCGGGCATTCATTCTTCACACCCTGGGAGTGTCTGGGCTCCAGCCTTCTCAAGCAGGTGGCTTCTTAAGGAACGCTACCAGAGTAGATGCAGATGTTTTCATCACATCTTCCACTGTGTTGACACTGTTTTACCTTCTCAATTTCCCCAAATTCCCAGCTTTCTTCTCTGCTATGCATTGTCTTCACAGCACAGCTTGCAGTCCGTTGCTGAAAATGCTTATGAGCTCTGCATAGTGTTAAGCTTTACTGTGATTATGTGTATGTTTCTTCCTTTATTAAGCAGACCCACACCTTTCCAGGGTCAAAGTACACGATAGAATAGTCTCCTTCATCTTTACTATTTCTTTTACTCCGTGTAAAGACTTTAGAAGTCTAATCCAGAGGCAAGCCAATTCAGAATTGACTGTAATTGAACACAGGCTAAAAGTATTTATGGAGAAGTGACTTTTAGCATGAGTTTTCTGATTTTTTGTAGCTGCTAAATCTTTTAAGTCTTTATTTGCAGTTCATGTAACAGTTCTGTCTTAAATTACATGATAAAGCAGTCCTGTTCAAAACTTTTTTTAAGTATGTGGCTTGCATAATTTTAAAGAAATGATCTTAGGTTTGTTTTTTCATGTGGAATGCAGATGGGTGCTATCAGAGCCTCTCCCCCATCGCTATAGTGTAATAACATCATTATTACACCACACTGAAATGTATTCAGAATTAGATTTTTTTTTAGCTTTATTGTTTCTTCAGAGGTGTTTCAAATGTACCGATGATACTGTTCCTTGCACTGAATATATAAACACTCCAGAGTGTTTATATTGGGGAGATATTGGGGAGGAAGTATATTCATAAAAGATGAAGGCTGTATCTGTTTATTTTGTTTATCTTCAGTTTTTTTACTGGTTCACTTAAATTCTTATGAGGGTGGGATGCATTTTTCTTACTGTTCAGTGCTTTATCCTTTTCATCTGTTGTTCTGTGGTCACAGTGACCTTAGCTATGTAGCAGACTTTCCCAAATGTATTGAGTGCAAATAAACAGTTACTTAGCAAGACCTGAAAATATGTCTGCAGGTTTCTCCTTGAAGCAAGTGTGTGGGATCATTGCATTTCCAGAAATCTGCCTTCTTTACCCTCCATTGACATTACGGTTTCTTCCGGCTGAGCTGTGGAATAACAAGTATAAATCAGTAGACTGTTCATTTGCCTTTCCAAGGGTAATTTAGCAACCCTTGTCCAAAAAAAGAAAGACAAAACAAAAAGTCATTTCTTGGTTTTCTTTTCACTCTTTGTTGAAGGTGCAGCCTTCTGATTAGAAGTCTGACACATTAATGAATGACCAGCAGCAGTATTCAGCTCTTTAAAAGGCACTTACATTATGATTTTACATGCTGGTTATTTGTCCCATTGTTGTAAAATGCCCACTCCATCAGATGTGTTCCTCAGTTTCTCTCATCCATAAAATACTCTTCACTTTTCTCAAATTGTTGCATTACTAAATGGTATTACATTAAAGCCCTGTGTTAAGCATCTGCTTTTGACTGAACTTCTTTCATAGTAACCTTCAATTTGTGTGTTTTACTGGTTCAATAGTGGGTTGATCTTTCTTTAATTGACTACTACATGAAATTTTTTAATATGCAGAAACTATTATGGACGGTGAAATAATTAACTACATCTCACCACGTGGATTTGAATATAATTCAGAGTAGGCTTTGCATCCTTTTCCTGCTGGATTGGGGTTCAGTAGTTTCAGTTCTATAATAGGTATAGCAGCTCAGAAAGGGAATGGTAATTTGTAGATTATTCTTTGAGATTTATGGGAACCATTCGACTTTTAAACATTTATTAGAAAATAAATCTTTGTTCAGAATCAGACTCCATCTTTTATATATTCCTACATATTTCAGGGATATTTTTGAACATTAGGCCATAACTTTTTTATGCAGTATTATTAGGCTTTTGAATTGCTTACTGAAGAGTACCCAAAATGTACTGCTCCTAGTTACGATTATCTTTCCCATTAGAAAAGAAATTTATTTAATTCTGGTGTAAAATTTATGTTTGAAGAATGGTAAAAGCAAGACAATGTTATGGCATTCATGAGCCCTAAGCACTTTTGCCTTGGTGGGCCACTTGTATTTTTCACTGCATTTGTATAAAAACAAGTACTATTTGAATAAGGACTCAATTTTTTCTTCTGATTTTAAAATTTTCATTGGCCTAGTAATAAGTTACTGTACCAGAGTTTGAGCTGTTTATGGTGTCTCTCACTGTGCAGCCTTTTGGCACCTCCTGTTTAACTTTTTAGCAGTTAGGGTGCCAATACCTGTCTCTAGTTTGTCTTGGCCCAACAGAGACGGTCTGTAGTTTCATTGCTCCTGTTTTTTCCCCTAGTCTCCCACTCCCTTTGCCTACTAGGTATAGTACTAGAGTGTAATTGTCTTTAGTTGTATTTTGTTGAGACTCAGTTTTACCTAACAGACCATCTTTTAAATGTAAAGCTTGCAGGCCAGGCTCCCTGTTTTTTTTACTGAAGCATCATCCTTTGCCGTTCTACCCCCCACCCCGCCACCAGAAAAGGAGCTAGACTCCTTCACATCCTCTTCTTCCTGTCTGCTAGGGCTTTTGTTGTTGTAGTAATTGAACTTCTGAATTTGTTCAAAATTTATATAAGGGAAGATTATATAGTCTCGATGATTCAGAACAGCGCGAGAAGAAACCTCTTCCTTCACCTCACCCGTGTACAATTCTTACCAATTGTGAGGCTGAATGTGAGCCGTGAGGTCGAACGAAAACAGCTGACACTGAAAAACCCTGGATACTTTTTAACTTATCAAAGACCCATTTAAGAAGCTACAGGAGGAATAAAATGATGAAGCGCTATGGTTCCGGGAGCGTCTGGATCTGGCGGGTTACGCCGCGCCGACTGCCCGTCTTTCCGCGGCGGACCCGGAAGGGCCTGTCCGCGTGAGGCGGCGTTTAGAGCCGGCTCTTGTCGGTCACTTACATGGGTGAGGAGGACTGAAGCCCGCCCACCTGCTTCCCTCCGCCTCACTTGAGAGTTCCTTTTAAACTGCGCAGGGGAGCAGCCCTAGCGCGCCTCTTGCGTGTAGGCCCCGCCCCTCGGGCGGCCCGCTCTTCCTTCTCTGATTGACCGCAGTCCCTGTTCATCAGCTGAGACGCCGCTTTCGCCTGCCGGAGCCCCGCCCTTTTCCGAGAGCCCTGAAAACAATTTTAAGATGGCGGCGGCGGCGGCGCGGAAAACAATGGGGCCGGGGCGGCGGGGACAGGCCGAGGCCTGAGGTGGGCAGCGAGCGACTGCCTGGGTTGGGCCGACCGGGGCCAGAGGAAGACCCCCGCCGCGCGCGAGCCCGCTCCGCAGCTCGCGGGGCCATGGCGTGGCCGTGAGGCAGCCGGGCAGCCGGCGGGGAGTGGAGCCTGCCGTGCCAGCCGGCCCCGAGAGGCCCGCCTCGGGCCCGGCCCGTGCAGCCCGCGGCCCATGGTGCTGCCCACCTGCCCCATGGCGGAGTTCGCGCTGCCGCGACACAGCGCGGTCATGGAGCGCCTCCGCCGGCGCATCGAGCTGTGCCGGCGCCACCACAGCACCTGCGAGGCCCGCTATGAGGCCGTATCGCCCGAGCGCCTGGAGCTCGAGCGCCAGCACACCTTCGCCCTCCACCAGCGCTGCATCCAGGCCAAGGCCAAGCGCGCCGGCAAGCACCGGCAGCCGCCTGCCCCGGCCCCAGCTCAGGCCCCGGCCCCGGCGCCCGCCCCGGCCCCCCGCCTCGACGCCGCCGATGGCCCAGAGCACGGCCTCCCGGTCGCGGTGAGTAGGGCTCGGGGAGCAGCCCCTTCCAGGGAGATGCTGCCCCTGACGCCGCCCAGGGCCCTTTGAGACTTCCCCAGTGCCCGCAACTTCTCTGGTCTGGCTCGGGGGAGGCTAACATGGCAGGGACTGAGTGGTTGTCATCTGCGGGAAATGGCACTGTGGCGTTACTTTGGGAAAACATGACCTTAAGGACCTTACATTAAGGTCCCGGGTGGGAAGGCTGGCGAACTGTCGGTGAAAGGTTTTTCTTCCAGACTGGATTCCGAAATTTTGAGAACTTTATTTTGGAAGAGACTAGCATTTAAGTTGCCTGTGATAGTGGCTTCATTTATTCTGCAAATGTTCATTGGGTCCTTGTTCTTTGCAGGGTCAGGGCTTAAATATGGAAATAAAACGGCCTTTAGTTGACCAAACTGTTCTGCATGGAAAATCAAGAATCTTTGGAAATCTTAGTAAAGACATAGTCCTGCTCATTGAGGTGTACAAAGGTATTCTTTATTTAGGCAACCCTGAAATTTGTGAATTTGTGATTCCAGCAATACTGTTGACAAAGCCAGTTTTCATTATAAGCCTGTTTAAAACCTCTGATGATATTAGAGTTTGTTGGTAAATTATTATGCCCTTTGGGTTCTCAGTAGATATTCGAGAAATTTGTTGGTTAGAGGTTTCCCTTCCTGAGACTGATTATAAGGTTCCTTGCTGTTGTTTTCTTGGTAATTTAAAGTTTAGAACAAATGTTACCAATTTAATTTGTGTGTTTTTAAATTCATGCCTTTGTTAAGGTCTCACCTGGGCTGTTGGCAGTACTCTTCCCTAATTAGTCTTAAGGTGTTCGGTCTCTTTCACCCTTTCAATGCTAGGTGTGTCACAGCCCCTATGCTCTGTTTGAATTATTTTCCTTATTCTCTCCCACACTAGCTTGGGCTGCTGAACATCTCATTGCTTATTTTTATCAAGTCTTACATAGTCAAGTCTTCTCATCCTCACTTTTCTTGTCTGTAAACTGAAGATGTGTTTGGTTTCCTCTAGGATTTTTATAAGACTCAAAAGAAATGAGTGTCGATGTGAAAAATATTTCGTAAATGGAAAGACTGCCTGCAGGACCCTCCCCCATCACCTTTCAGAATCCTGACATCCTTCAGGGCCATCTCATCTTCCTCTTTAAAACCAATTTCCACCCTACCCCACAGCAGTTAGAATCTCCTTTGTCAAAACATTTAGGAAATGTATTGTCTATGCTATTTATTTTAAGCACAATGTCACATACTACTTTAGGACATGTCTTGCAAACACACTGTAAGCCCTGGGAGACAGGGAGGGGTGCGGCTCACAGTCAAAGGAAAGACTTTTAAGAGTTGTGGGGGGGGGGGGCTTCCCTGGTGGCGCAGTGGTTAAGAATCTGCCTGCCAATGCAGGAGACACGGGTTGGAGCCCTGGTCCAGGAAGATCCCACATGCCGCGGAGCAACTAAGCCCGTGTGCCACAACTACTGCACCTGTGCTCTAGAGCCCGCAAGCCACAACTACTGAGCCCACATGCCACAACTACTGAAGCCTGTGCGCCTAGAGCCAGTGCTCTGCAGCAAGAGAAGCCACCACAGTGAGAAGCCCGCACACCGCAACTAGAGAAAGCCCACGCGAAGCAATAAGACCCAACACAGCCAAAAATTAATTAATTAATTAATTTTAGAAAAGAGTTGTGGGTGGTAATTCCGTGTAAGTAAATAGTGAAAGCTCATAAAAATCTCTTTACACTCACATAATTACCTTGAACCACCCCCTAGAATGTATATTAGTAGTGATTCAGTTTGTTTAAAGAGACTAAGAATTTAGATCCCCTATGATATTTTTAGTCCTAAACTACTAGAGAGAAATTGGACATGCTGTTTGAAGAGAAATTAATTCTGAGTGTGTTAGAACTTGAGTCTGGCCTGTCAGTCATTCTTTTGGGTGATTAGGTGTGCCATGTGACGTTGATGTCTTATCACATTAAACCTTGACCCATGGATTTCATGAGTTAAACTTTAGAATGGAATTGCTCTTCAACCTCCTTACTAGGAAGAGGGACCCTTTTCACTTCAGTCTCCAAGTGATTCTAGGTGAGCTCTTTGGCCTTGGAGTGGGGTTTTAGGAATGGAAGATCAGTGTCACTAAGAACACAGTGGCTTGTTCTGTTTTAGTGGCTCCTTCAGTTCAGAGAGGGGGAGAGTCCTTGCCTTGGTAGGATTTTGGCTTGGAGAGAGAGCACAGCTTTGCCAGAGAAATGGAGGGGAGAAAGTGCCTCTTAGTCATTGTTATTTTTGACAATTCTGTGTATGTATTTGATCTAATTAATATTCCTTACATAAGGAATATTATTATTATTTTTTTCCAAATGTCCTGTAGTACTCTTAGGCAGTCGTTTCATAGCAAAGTTACCATCGGTAAACCATTTGTACAAGTGAAAAGGGATCAAGTCAAATTACTAGTAGAGTACACCTTCTGCTTATGTTTTTCGCCTTCTTAGGATATTCCACCACAACAAAACCTTGACCGCTATCTTCCTACTGTAGATCTGTTAGAGATGGATCAGAAACAGTGCTTCAGACTTTTTTCTACTCTGATTGTCAAGGAATTACCTCATTAGGTTTTCTTCATACTGTGTGTGCTCATTAAAAACCAAATAGTAGTTTTCTAATGATAGGATTGACTTTTTTTTTTTTTTTTAATTTATTTATTTTTGGCTGCGTTGGGTCGTCATTGCTGCATCGGGGCTTTCTCTAGTTGCAGTGAGTGGGGGCTACTCTTTATTGCGGTGCACGGGCTTCTCATTGCCGTGGCTTCTCTTGTTGCGGAGCACGGGTTCTAGGCATGTGGGCTTCAGTAGTTGTGGCACGTGGGCTCAGTAGTTGTGGCGCGCAGGCTCAGTAGTTATGGCACAAGGCTTAGTTGCTCCGCGACATGTGGGATCTTCCTGGACCAGGGGTCGAACCCGTGTCCCCTGCATTGGCAGGCGGATTGTTAACCACTGCGCCACCAGGGAAGTCCAGATTTACTTTATTGTATTAGGGATGCCAGATAATAGAGAATTATCCACTCACTTTATACATTCATTCTGTCATGAAAATAGTCTTCTACAATAGCTTGAACACTTTCTTTTAGTAAATATATTTTTTTAATATTTATTTATTTTGGCTGCACCTGGTCTTAGTGGCAGTATACGGGATCCTTGCCATGGCACGTGGACTTCTTAGTTGCGGCATGCATGTGGGATCTAGTTCCCTGACCAGGGCTCGAACCCGGGCCCCCCTGAATTAGGAGTGCAGAGCCTCAGCCACTGGACCACCAGGGAAATCCCTCTTTTAGTAAAATGTTATAAAGGTTTATGCCACATCCCCTTATCCACCATTGTCACACTTTTGCTGCTTACTCCTTAAGTCGTTGTGATAGTCTACCAAGAAATTTGACGGTTGCATGTCAACCATTCGTGGAAGTTGCCTTTCCTGCTTAGTTTAGGCATGCAGTATTTCTCTCTCTCTGTCTCTTTTTTTTTTCTTTTTCTTTTTATCCTTTTAATAAGATCTTTCACAGGACAGAAAAATTTAATTTTGATAAAATCCAGTTTATAATCATTTATTTTATGAATTGTGTTTTGGTGTTATGTTTAAGAACTCTTTTTATATATCTCTAGATTAAAAATGTTCATATTTTGTCGAGGATTTTTTGCATTTAAGTTCATGAAAAATGTTAATCTGTAATTTCCTTCCTTTCTCTCTTCTTTCCTCTTTTTCTTTCTTCTCTTTTTAACTTTTATCTGTACATAACTACACAAATAGTACAAAGAACATCTGCATACCCTCCTCTTAGAGTCTACCCATTGTCATCATCATGCCCTATTTGCTTTATCATTTGCATACATACCTCTTTCTCTCTTCTCTTTCTCCCTAAAACTTTTGTTCTCTGAACCTCCTGTGAGAACACTGCACATATGGCTCTCTACCCCAAACACCCAGCGTGTACCTTCTAAGAGTTAAGAAAGATGTGTGAAATTTTAATAATGATTTTGTAGACCGAACTTGTGTAGGAAATATGTGTAAATAACAAATTATTTTCAGGGAGTAGATATTTCTAAACATAAAACAGACATTGTTCTATAATCATGTGGGATAATTTTAGAGAAAAGATGACTAATGTGGCTTTAGAATCCCATTTCTTCCTGTAACATTTGCGACCTTGTCATAGTACCATCTTTCCTTTTTTATCTTCAGTATCCCCTTTCCCACTGGGTCCTTCCCTTTAGCTTGAAACAGGAGCACATATTCTCCTTTCTTTTGTCTTTTCTCACCCTCAAAATAGTATTCTATCTCCTTCCTTCCCTTTACGCTTTCCACTGCACTTCCCATTTACTCATTGCCCCATTGTAATCTGCCTTCTACCTCTTTTACTTTTCCAAAGCTGCCCCCTTAAAGGACACCAAAGAGGGAATTACCAGATTCAGTGGCTTCTTAGTCATCATTCTTTTTGACTTCCTCCTTCCTAAGACTCTTCTCTTAGCTTCTACTCTCTTCTGATTTTCTTTCCAGCTTTCTGACTTTTTTTCTGTCTCCTTCCTGCTTTCCCTTATTAATTCATGCAACAAATATTTGAGTGCCTACTGTGGGCCAGAGCATATTTTAGTTGCTAGGGATACAGCAGTGATCAAGACAGATTGAAACTGCTCTTATGGAGAGAGATCAGTAATTTTTAAAATTAATTTTAAGTTATAATAAATGCTAAGAAAAAATGTAAAGAGTTATGTGATACTGAGTGATTTGTAGCAGCAGCTTTAGATATGGTAGTAGCAGCTTTGTCTTAATTTGGCCTGAATGACAGGAGGTTATGAATCAGCTGAAAGTTTCAGCAAAGAACATTCCAGTTAGAGAGAACCACCAGCACAAAGTCTCGGAGGCAGGAACCTTCTGAGCTTGCATGAAGACAGAAAGGAGGTCAGTGTGGCCAGAGCAGCAGGTATGCAGCTGG